GAAAACTCTCATAAGGAGAGTTCTCATGGATACCATTGTCATGTTGACTGTGAAGGAGGCCCATATAACCAGAGGACTGGCTATATGGATTCATAGCAGTAAGAAGAGAAAAGAAATTAAAGAAGAGAAAGCGGAATGGTATTATGGTTTTACCAGAGAATGGAGATAGAAGATGATGGATATAAAATTTGCTCGTAGAAGGATAGTTTTATAGGAGAAACTGTAATTAACACAACCATAATGATCTAACTACCAAACTACATAAATGGTATTACACAACCAACTTTTACAAGTGCATTAACTAATAAAGGTTTAAAGATATACGAGCAATACAGAAACAACTTAGTTATTATATATCACACAACCAACTTTTGTACATCTCAGTAATGACCTAAACTACCAAAGTACATCTCAGTTATTACGTATCACACAACCAACTTTTGTACAAGTGCATTAACTAATAAAGGTAAAAAGTTATAACCTCACAAAACTAGACTATCATTTCTTTAAGATGTATACGATTTGGTTGCAAACAAAGCAGGCAGTTAACCCCATACTGTTGTGTATACAAACTAGCCTATCATTTCATTAAGATGTGTACAAACTAGCCTATCATTTCACACAACCAACTACACGATTTGGTTGCAAACTAAGCAGACAGAATCAAAGAAAAAGTACCTTCAACTTCGTAGGATTGTTCGCCGTATGCTGTGATTTCCTAACCGGGTAATTGCAAATGTACCTCACCTAATAACAGTCTCAGAATCAAAGAGAAATTAAATCAGTTTCTTCAAATAATTAACCATAAGATAAAACATATAACCATAAGATGATTTCCAAACAATTAACCATAAGATGATTTCAAAAACAAGACTCACAATTAACCCAGTAATTTACAACTTAAAAACGCGTGATGATCCAGACTTGGAAGAACACTTATTTGTTTCATCGAGGAAGTAGATTACAAGGATAACTAAATGCATGCAAAGAATCAACAGGGAGGACGAACACATACCCTCTTCACCTTCGAATCGAAGAATAAGAACCAAGGATGAGAACCCTCGAGAGGAGAACCGCGGAGATGAGAACCAAAGAGGGGAGAACCGTCGAGAGGGGAGGACCGTCGAGAGGAGGACCGTCGAGAGGGGAGGACCGTCGTGTTGAGAACCCTCGAGAGGAGATCCGCAGAGATGAGAACCAAAAGGGGAGAAGCGTCGAGAGGCGAGGACCGTCGAGAGGGGAGGACCGTCGAGAGGACCGTCGTGATGAAAACCCTCGAGAGAGAACCGTCGTGATGAGAGCCGTCGCACTTCACAAGAAATCACCCTCTCAATCGCACTCGAGAGAGAGAGAACCCAAAGAGACGAAAAAAGTAAATCTCGTTCCCAAATCGATTTTGCCCTAACCCTTTGCTTTCCACCATACACAAAACGCCACGTATCACCTTGGGACGCCTCATAAAACTTCTTAATTAAGCGGCGTCCCACACATTCTTACTTATTTGACATTTAAATTAAATCCGAAAATTGTTAAGATACATGCGGTGGGACGCCGATATTTATGGTCTAAGCATCTTTTGACCTTGTGAGATACAAGATGCAATCTTCCCCTAAGATCGTTGTTCTGAAAATTAGACAGCTTTTACCTTTAAGATTTCGATGATTCAGGAAAGGAGAGTAAATTGGTGATAAAGAGGTTAACACGCAATGGAACGTTCTTGGATTAAACCAAAAAACAGCTACAAAACACAACAGTTGTGTAGTTGCAAACAACCCTAGTAGTTTCAAAACCCTGCTTGAAAGCCAGAAGAAGAAGTGGCAACCAAACATCTTTCACAGCAGATGATTTGGTAAATAGCTCTTCTAGAACAACCATTTGGACAAAACTTGGAAGCTCAACGCATGTTTCCCTCTCTCAAAACATCGATCATGTTGTAGATTCTCTGGTCTGCTTTCAACCGAATCTACATTTCACAAAAGTGTTGAAACAACAATTAGCATAGTATAGATAGAGGTGAGACTCAGAGAAAGCTGAGAATCTATTAGCGAGCAAAAGGAGTAAGCTTCTGAACCTTTTTGGCAAGGAAAAGCACGGCATCCACAGTACCCTCAGCGTATATTGATCTGCCACAAACATTGTGCTGGAACTCGAAGGAGACACTACAAAGAAAAGTGAGCTAGTTATGGAACATACACACTTTTACAATAGAGACACAAAAGTTATATAATAATGTCTTAGATGTTGCATTACGTTTCATCAGGTGAGGTCAAGTGATAGAGATGGAAAGCGTGGCCAGAGACATGCTCTTCAGGAACTCCAACCATCTCAACTTGCTGTTTAGGATCCCTAATCAATTGTATCTACCACCAAAAAAAGTTGTATAAAAAGAAAATTCATATTCCGAGATCAATTAAGTTATTGCCTAGATGTAAAGAATAAATTACAAAACAATGCACCTCATCCATGTCGTAAGACACTCCTAGTTCCTGGAAGCAAGAGATAACAGCCTTTGCTGTTCCTGATGCATCCAACTTACTAGCTTGATGAGACTCCATCACCTACATATATATACTTTGGCATTTGATTAGACGTAGCAAGAAGCAATAAAATGCATTTGAATATATAATAAAAGTGTACCTCTAAGGAGTAACCAGAAAAGGCTCCTGGAAATTGCTCAGCCATGATCTCCATGGCCGCAAGAAATGCAACAACCTAATGAAACCAACAAAGCAAAAGAGATATGAGCTAAAAAAATCTTAAAATCACAATACTTTCTACGAGACACACATACCTGTTTACCCATCTGTGGGGAAATCACAGCATAAGTCTTTGCTTTCTCCACAGTCTCATACAGTTTATTCCTGTCTCCACCAGTTGTTCCCATTACAAAAGGAACACCTACTTTGCTATACAGCTCCGCATTATCTACATTTCAAAAGCAACAAACAATAGACATAAAAAAAAAGGTTCTAGCAGATGGTTTTTCTTTTAACTCACTAAGACAAGTGTCAAGCAACAGTTACCATTAACTGCAGTGGGGATGGTGTAGTCGACAACAATAAGCTCAGGATGTTTCTCAAACACCCAAGAAAGAACCTTTTCTCTCTCAGTAGGACCGTGCACAGTGATCTCTTTGCCACACACCTCAACAGTCTGTCCAGCCTCAGCAGCAGATCCAAAGGAAGTAGGAACAATATTAACTCCAGCAGAGTCTGCTGCTTTGATTACAGCTTTCCCCATTTTGCCAGTGCATCCATTCACCTGAAATGTAAGAGATAATTTAATAGCTTAACCGAACAATAACCACCACTAAGAACATATAACCAAACCATTATATACCATGATGGATATGCCACTTCCAGGCAAAACAGACTTCACGGCCTCCTCACCGGAACCCTCCGTCGCCGTCCTTGATAAAACCACCGGAAGACGACGACGTTGCCCATTACCCACAAAACTAACACGGCTTTTACATAACGACTGATTCTTTCTAGAAGCAAATGCGAGACGAGGGTTTCCTGAGCGATGAAGAAACACACTTGGAGACGCCACTAGCCTGTGTTATCAATACAACGTTTATCTCAATAGAATCATCATCTTAAAGAGTTAAAAGATCAATAGAATCGAAATGGTACCAGTTAGTCGTAGCCATATCCTATGGTTCAAGACGAAAGCTTTTCGGCAGACAGAAAAAATTTAAAAGACTTTCACTTTTGTCTGAATATTCCGACCGGTGAGAGATTCAGACTTTAGGGCTTAGTTTATCCCTTCCCATTAAACCGGTAATCTCTTAACCAAACCATTAGATTACGAACCAAACCGTTTTCACTATTTCAGTTATGTTTTGGTATAATTTTGTTGAATTTCGAATAAGTTTGTTCGGTTAAATTCGATTAGTTGGTTATTTCGATTAGTTCGATTTGAAATTTGGTTAGTTCGATTCATGTCTTTGGTATGGTGGTTGTAAAACTTTTTATTTTATTTTAATAAGATTGAGCTAATTCGAACCGAAATAATAACTATTTTTAGAAAATTTGCCGGACCGAACCGAACTTCTTCCAACGAACCGAATTAACCAAAAATTTATTTAACCGGAAATCTCTAAACCAAACCATTGGATTCATTACTAAACCGGAATTAATTAAATCTGCTAAACCAAGGATAAGAACGATCTTTCCAAGCACTCACTCCTAACCGCATCTCAGTCAGAGGAACGAAATATGAAGTCGTTAGCTTCGCCGCCTTCTTGTCTCCGCCTAACTCCGACGACACGTCATCATCTCCCTTCTCGTCAATCTCCTTCCACTGTACTCAAATCCAATAGCTTATCATTCTCCACATCAGCATCCGGTACGCTTTGCCTTCTCTCACTATCTCTTAAAGCTCAATACTTTATCGCAATCCAGTGGATGATGAGATGTTATAGTTTTACTTGTTAGGTTTCGCGTCGTCACTGGCTGTAGAGAAGGAGCTACGCTCGTCGTTTATACAGACGGCTGCTGTTCGTCATGTTACTGGGTCGCTTATCAGAGGGGAAGGTCTTAGATTTGCTATTGTAAGTTCTCTGTTCTTCTCCTTAAAGTCTTCACCTTTTTCTCAGGATTTGATAGATAAGTTTTTTTTTTTTTTTTTGAATATCGTCAAGGTTGTTGCTCGTTTCAATGAGGTTGTGACGAAGTTGCTTTTGGAAGGAGCTATTGAGACTTTCAAGAAGTACTCTGTTAGAGAAGAAGACATTGAGGTATAAAGATTGGAGCTTTGCATCCTTGTTGAAGCTATTGTTTCTACGAATCAACTCAAGTGAAACTCTTTTTTGAATCAGGTTATATGGGTTCCTGGCAGCTTTGAGATAGGTGTTGTTGCACAAAATCTTGGGAAGTCAGGAAAGTTTCATGCCGTTTTATGTATCGGTGCTGTGGTATGATTCTTGCTTTGAACAAATTGTTAGTCTTATCTGATTGTATGTGCTCAGAAAGTACTTTGCTTTAGAGTTGGATTTTGATCTAGTCTTTGTGTCCTTTGTTGTGTGTTAGATAAGAGGTGATACTACTCATTATGATGCTGTTGCCAACTCTGCTGCATCTGGAGTACTTTCTGCTGGCATTAATTCAGGTTCGTCTCAGACTACTCATTACGATGCTGTTGCCAAATCTGTTGTGTGGTAGTGTAATTGTCACACTAACTCAAAGAGCTGCTTCACTCCCCACCCCCACCCACATCATCAGTTCAGCTCTTCAGAAATTTGTTTTGGCTGTTCGGTCACTGTTGATGTCGTCTTCTCTTGCAATTAGTTTAGCTTTTCCGTAGCAGTAACGCTTTTGATTCCTAATTTGCAGGTGTTCCATGCATATTTGGTGTACTGACATGCGAGGACATGGATCAGGTTCGGTTTTGTTATTCCAAAAAATTAATGAAATGTATAGCTGATTCATGATGATAAACACTGATTGTTTATTATGGTTAAACTGAAACTGTAGGCTCTGAATCGATCTGGTGGGAAAGCCGGAAACAAGGGAGCTGAAACTGCTTTGACGGCCGTAAGTATCATCATTATGATCAATCCTTTACTCGTTAAACAATTTATCAAATTTCATGAATAATTCCATTAAGCAAATAATGGTGTCATGTTATCAACCATTTGAGTTCTTGTCTCTTTTGTAAAGTCCTTGAAATTTTCTCTCCTTTTTTCTTTATGCAGCTGGAGATGGCGTCGTTGTTTGAACACCACCTGAAATAGTTGCTCGTTCCATGGATGAGCAAATGATCACGAATGAGAACTTGTTCCTGTGTACCATTTGGTTACAATCCAATCTCCGAAACTATATTGTCAAAATGTTTTCTTTTACCTCTTGAGATATATTTGGACCGCTTTTTGTAAGCTTCTGATCTTGTTTTGAATCGTGTAATAATAGTTCCTCCGAATTTTGGGGGCGAGTGGGTTATTCTGCACCAATCAAAATTATGATTGTCTCTGTCATAATATCTTGAACATAGGAGGTCAAAATGCAATTGACGAGACTTTCTAAAAGCCAATAGTAACTTTACACGTGGATTTGTCGGCAAATGCGAAAATGACGCGTCAAACATTTATTACTAGTTGATATAGTTCAACAAATCAGCCTATTACACAATCTTCAATCATCCTCAAAGCACTCTCTCTTGTCTCTCTGCGACTCACATTCATCAACTCTCTAGGTAAAGATCCATATCCACTTCTCATCGTTATCTGTTCTTCCGTATCTGATCTGTAAAGGTGATGATTTGATCGAGTTTTTGTTGACTCTGACCTTACTTATCCCGATCTGTTTGACCTTTCACTTGATCTAGATCGAGTATTAGGGATCACTGTTTTTTTTTTCTCATGATCCACGTGATCTGATCAGTATTGTTGTACTTCAAACATGCAATGTATGTTCTTGTGTTCAAGCTATAGAAATAAAATATGTTGTCATGAATCATCTAGTTGATGAGATCTACTGTAATGTGAGTTCTTCATGGTGTTTGGTAGAAGAAAAAAAAACATTCCTTTATTTTTGATTTCTAGTTGCTTTGACTTTGTCTTCGTACCTTGTTCTTGGTCTTATATGACTTGTGGAGATGAAATCTGTTTGGTTTGACTTTTTTTTTTTTTTTTTGCGTTGTTGTAACGATGTCACCTTGCTGCTTCTCAGCTATGTCAACATCCGAGAACAAAGTTGAAATCGTGGACAGAGGCCACAAGGAAGAGGAAGAAAAAAAAGAAGAAGGCAAAGGAGGCTTCCTCGACAAAGTCAAAGACTTCATCCACGACATCGGTGAAAAAATCGAAGAAACCATCGGCTTCGGTAAACCAACAGCCGACGTCTCAGCCATCCACATCCCAAAAATCAACCTCGAGAGAGCAGACATCGTCGTAGACGTCCTCGTCAAGAACCCCAACCCAGTCCCCATCCCTCTCATCGACATCGACTACTTAGTCGAAAGTGACGGTAGAAAACTCGTCTCAGGCCTCATCCCCGACGCAGGAACCATCAAGGCACATGGAGAAGAGACAGTCAAGATACCGTTGACTTTAATCTACGATGACATCAAGAGCACTTACAACGACATTAACCCCGGTATGATCATACCTTACAGGATCAAAGTTGATCTCATCGTCGACGTGCCTGTCTTTGGGAGGTTGACGTTGCCTTTGGAGAAGCGTGGTGAGATTCCTATCCCAAAGAAGCCTGATGTTGACATCGAGAAGATTAAGTTCCAGAAGTTTTCTTTGGAAGAGACTGTTGCGATTCTCCATGTGAGGCTTGAGAATATGAATGATTTTGACTTGGGGCTTAATGACTTGGACTGTGAGGTGTGGTTGAGTGATGTGAGTATTGGGAAGGCTGAGATATCTGACTCTATTAAGCTTGATAAGAATGGGAGTGGGTTGGTTAATGTGCCGATCACGTTTAGGCCAAAGGACTTTGGTTCTGCGCTTTGGGATATGATACGTGGTAAAGGGACTGGGTATACTATTAAGGGCAATGTGGATGTTGATACTCCGTTTGGTGCTATGAAGCTTCCTATTATTAAGGAAGGTGGTGAGACTCGTTTGAAGAAGGAAGATGATGATGACGACGATGAGGTTAGTATATGTTCTTCTCTGCTTATAGCTTGAGCATTGTTTATATGATCGTTTTGCTCATGGAACTGTATACGTTTTTCTTTTTGCAGGAGTAAGGAAAGGAGCTCAAGAGTTGAGTTTGTGTTGAGTACTGAATCTTTCATCTTTTAAAATAATGTTTTTAAGTTAAATTAAGGACTTGTTTGTTTTGTGTGCACTTTGGATGACTGATGGATGAGACTTTGCTTGGACTTCCTATGTTAGTGTGGTCTGGTTGAGTTTGTTATATGGTTGAGTTTGTTATGTTTTCTAACCAAATCTTTATAATATTATTTGAGAAGTCAGTTTCTTAGGTGTCGCGCTCACGTTAACTCTCACGTTGGTTGATTACTATGATACCCCTAATGAATTAAAATATTATTAAATATTATTTACTTTTTTTAAATTTCCAAATAACAATATAAAATAAAAAGGAAACATTTATAAAATTTACAAAACTATTTAAAAACGAAAATATAAGTATATATAATATGATTTAATAAAAAAAAAGAAAGTTCACAAAATAGTAATAGTTAATTTAAATATATTTTAAATAACATAAAATATACCTTTGAAGTAATAAAATACTTTATACCTATATCTTCTTAGATAAAAAAAACAATATTTGTATATAATGAGATTTCATAAAAATAATTCACACAAAAAATATTGCTATTAGAAAAAGAAATATTTTTCCTTAAAAATAATTTTAAACAATAAAATATATATATTTTCAAAATAATTATTTTTGTATATATCTATCTATTTTATTAGATGATTGCATAAAATAATCAACTAACATAAACTGATATATGTTTAACTGAATTTTTTTTATATTTAGTATTATTGAAATTATTTTTTTTGTATATTTATTTGACTATAATATCTTACAATTACAGTAAAAATATAAATTCTATTTTACTTATATAGTATAATTTCTCAAAAAATCACTTTTTACTGACTATTTTAAGAGATACTAAAAATAAAACTAAAAATAAATTTAATGATAAACATCTTTTGATCAAGTAACTACAATTATTTTAAAATATCATAATACTATATAATTTAACGAGGTAGATATATTATATTTTAATAGTTAAAATTATCTGTTCTAAGAATAAGGATTCTGATTTACTTAAGTATTTTGATTATGGTTATGTTAAGCTTCACAAACATAGAAACAGAAAATAACTACTATTATTTTAAAATACCATAACACTATATAATTTAACGAGGTAGATATATTATATTTTAATAGTTAAAGTTATCTGTTTTCTTAATAAATCTTTTGATTTTTAATTTTTTTGTTTTTATGTTTGTGAAACATAATATAACCATAGTCAAATACTTAAGCAAATCAGAATCCTTATTTTTAAAATTATTTAAAATAAATTTCAGTTTACCATCCAAACAATCTAAAGCATTAATTTATTTAGAATTTATAAAATATTTTAACTATTGTAAATATTGGTATGTGTTCAAAATCTTCTAAAAATTCGTTAGTTACTTATGTATGTAATTTATAAACAGAAACTTTAGTTTTTATTTTTTTTTCCTTCTAAGCACAAAAAAATCTTAAGTTATATATAATCTTACTAAATATACTTATATTTCTAAGATAACAACCACCATAAATGCAAATAAGACAGTTAATCAAAAATTTAATATATTTAAAATATAAAAGATAATAGTTGAATTAAGAGAAATATATAGAATCCAATATATATAAATGATAACTAAATCGACCGTAAAAACAATAAAACAGACTAAATATAACATATCTAAAATTAATATTATAATATAAATTACAAACTATAAATTAATTTAAAAATTAAAGTAAATATCAATCAGTTATTATTGTATATTTATTTTATAAATATACATGCCCGTGCATGAGCACGGGAAAATCACCTAGTCATATCGATATATATTAAATTAAAATCATATCAAATTTTGAAATGAATTAACCGATTATTAACTAATCGGAATTAATTTGAATTTACCTGAATTTCTAACTAAATTAAACGTCAAAACAATTGGTCAAGTTGTGTTCAAAAAAAAAAAAAAACAGTTGGTCAAGTTTGGAAGAATTTTTAAAATTTGACCTAACCGATTACCAAACTGAGTTAAACAAAAAGATTATTTGATTCAGTTTGGCAAAATTTTGTACCAACCAAGCTGGCCAAAAATCTTTTTTTTTCCAAACTGGACTAACCCCCATAATTTCAACTAAATTGATGTTTTCAAACCTCAAGCGATTCAGAAAATTAATTGTAATTACAAAACTTTTGTTTACTCAATTAGGTGTAACCAGCATCAAGTAACAATTAAACTAGAATATATTTATTAGTCTGAACCGGTTTTTGTAAATTGATAGACTTCCCTCATTGTTTAGGAAAGCGAACTCTTTAAGTTCCTCACTTTCTCTTTTTCGAACAGACCTAGATCACTACCATGTCGGCCATTGTGACGCTATGCAGAGCTCGAGCTCCTTATTCTTTATTCAATAGTGTTGTTCGTCCATCATTTCGTAATTTCTCCACATGTAGTAGTTAAAATAACTCTTGATAATAAAGACAAAGCATGGAACTATATTACAAAGATCTTGATCATGAATATGTGACCTCTAAGTTTCTAACTATGTTTCTTATTATGAATGTTAAGAAAATGATTATGTGAGGAAGTTTCTTGTCTTATGTTCAGTTTTTTGGGTGGTCATTATATGATGCAAGCTTATATGTCAAAGTATTAAACCTTCTGCTTGGACATCTTACTAATATCTTTGGCTAGTTGCTAAGATGGGATCAGGCTCTTTGATTAGTTTTCGGAACATGTGATATTATATACGTTGTAGGATGGATAGTATATTCTTGAGGAATCAGGTTGATCAGTGACTTGTATTATATTACAAATATACAACACCTAAGATACTGTTATTGTCTGTGTTTATGATAGGTTCCATAACTCGTACTATCGGGAGAGAAAGAACAAAGGAGGTCTGGTTGTAGGTGAAGACGTAGAAGGATCAAATGGAAAGAAAAATTCAAATGTGAATGAAGAAGTGAAGAAGTGAAGACTTGAAGTGAGGCAAAAGGTTTGAAGAATAAAGAATGGGCAAAGACTCTAGTGAGAAGGGAGGCTTTGTCGTTAAAATCGTTGAACTTGAGTTTATTCAAATAAGAGTTCGAAATTCATTTTCTTTTTTTATGCTTGTTGTTGTAGAAGAAAGAAGCCATGAGTCTTCTCTTTCGATCGCTATGAGATCAATATATTTACTATTTCTATGAGATTGTAATTTGTATTTGTACTTTAAACTTTCGTTTACATAAGAAGAATTTACAGAGTTCCAGAGTTTGACATTACATAAATTTATCATTGGTGCAGGAAAAGGTATAATATTTACATAAATCCTGGAATGACAATATATTTTATAATATCAATTATTTATTTTAGTGTAATATTATTGTAATAGTGATGTGATATTTTAATTGTTGTTTTAAATATATATATATATATATCATAATTTATTTTAACCAGTTAATGGAATAGTGTATTTTTACTTAGAAGTTATGTTATTTCAAACTGAAATATAACATTTAATCATTTATGTACCTTTTACTGTAATAGGAGTTATAATAATTTAAAATTTGTGTGAAACAAAATATTTTCTCTTATTAACTTTGAATCTATCAACATACAGTATGGGTTTATTTTAAAATGTCAATGATATTTTATTAAGTTGTATGTAAAAAAACATTTGCAAACGTCCAGTATTCTATTTTTTGTCAAACCACATAATCTACTTAGCAAATAAAAAATGGTAAATATATGTGAATTTTGATGTTAAAATATTTGTACCAACCAAACTAGCCAAAAATCATTTTATTTCCAAACTGGACTAACCCCCATGATTTCAACTAAATTGATGTTTTCAAACCTCAAGTGATTCAGAAAATTAATTGTAATTACAAAACGTTTGTTAATCAATTAGGTAGGTAACCAGCATCAAGTAACAATTAAACTGGATTGTATTTATTAGTCACAGTCCAATCAAAACCGGTTTTTGTAAATTGATATATAGACTTTCCTCATGGTTTAGGAAACCGAACCCTTTAAGTTCCTCACTTCCTCTTCTTCGATTATACCTAGATCACTAACATGTCGGCCATTGTGACGCTATGCAGAGCTCGAGCTTCTTATTCTTTATTCAATAGTTTTGTTCGTCCATCATTTCGCAGTTTCTCCACATGTAGTAGTTAAAATAACTCTTGATAACAAAGACAAAGCATGGAACTATATTACATAGATCTTGATCATGAATATGTGACCTCTAAGTTTCTAACTATGTTTCTCATTACGAATGTTGAGAAAATGATTATATCAGAAAGTTTCTTGTCTTCTGTTCATTTCTTTGGGTGGTCATTATAGATGCAAGCTTATATGTCAAAGTATTAAACCTTCTGCTTGGACATCTTACTAATATCTTTGGCTAGTTGCTAAGATGGGATCAGGCTCTTTGATTAGTTCTCGGAACATGTGATATTATATACACATTGTAGGATGGATTGTATATTCTTGAGGAATCAGGTTCATCAGTGACTTGTATTCTGTTGCATATATACAACACCTAAGATACTGTTATTGTTTGTGTTTATGATAGGTTCCGTAACTCGTACTATCGGAAGAGAAAGAACAGAGGAGGTCTGGTTGTAGGTGAAGACGAGAAGGATCAAGTGGAAGGAAAGAGTCAAATGAGAATGAAGAAGTGAAGACTTGAAGTGAGACAGAAGGTTTGAAGAATAAAGAATGGACAAAGACTTTAGTGAGAAGGGAAGCTTTACCGTTAAGATTGTTGAGCTTGAGTTTATTCAAATAAGAGTTTTAAAGTCATTTTCCTTTTTTTATGCTTGTTGTTGTAGAAGAAAGATGCCATGAGTCTTCTCTCTCGATCACTATGAGATCAATGAATACATTTACTATTGCTATGAGATTGTAATTTGTATTTGTACTTTAAGCTTTCGTTTACATAAGAAGAATTTACAGAGATCCAGAGTTTGAGATTACATAAATCTATCATTGGTGCAGTAAAAAAATTGAATACAGCGATTGCGATGTCGGCGAGTGTTACTCCGGTACGATCGAGTGGTGTGGTTGATTTCGACGAGGTGGATGAGAATCTACATGGTGAGATTTTGTTTTTGATGGGAGTGTTTACTTGTTTAAACAAAGAACACGCGATGACAAACTCAATTGTTTCATCGATGGAGGAGAAGATGACATCAATGGAGGCTGCGATGACGAATCTCGCATCATCGGTGCAAGCGATGATGAAATCGGTGGGGAAGATGCCGATTCAAAGAGCATGTTCAACATTCTGATTACTCTCACACAGGTTCTCAGGTACAACCGTCATATTTGGAACCAAATCGGAGTTCTCCGTTGGGTTATCGAGCTGTTAATCTGAATCTAGATAATCGTGATAGTATGTTGAAGAAAATTGAAATGCCTTTCTATGATGGTACACGTGTGTTAGACTGGATTGTGAATGTGGAGCATTTTTATACATTTGGAAGGTATTCTGATGATGCGAAGTTAGATTTGGTTCTGTTGTGCTTGCAAGGGAAGATTAAAAAGTGTTTTACCTGGGTGATGGGTCGTGGTGGTTTTCATAGTTGGAAAGATTTCAAACAGAGATTGGTGGTGTGTTTCTCTGAATCTATTGATGAAGAACCTGAGACAAAGCTTTTTGCAATCAAACAGACGGGTACGGTGGCTGTTTACCTTTCTAAATTTGAAGAGTTATCTTCCCAAGTTGTGGGTTTGGCAGATCATCATTTGGAGCGAATTTTTTACAATGGTCTCACTCAAGAGATGAACGAGGTGATACGGATCAAGGATCCACAGAGCTTACCTAACTACATTGCTGCAGTGATACTTATGGAAACTAGTGCTTTTTGTAAGGTGGTGAATGGAGTTGTAGGTCAAGAGACCAGAGGAATGTCTCTCCATTTGGGAACGGGAAGAACTAGTTCCTCTTATTAATATCAGCGAGATAAACCACGTGTTGAGGGAGGCCAAAGCAGAGAGAATATGATAGTCGAACGAGAAAATGAATGTCCCGGTCAACAGTATACTGATCCGGAGTTGGATGCTATGAGAAGAGATAAGGTGTGCTTTAAATGTAAGGTTTCTTGGTCTAAGATTCATGATTGTCTTGATAAAGCTTTACGAATGATGACGGTGATAAATGGCTTGGAACTGGAAGTGGTGGATGTTAGAGACGAGGAAGAGATGGAAATGGCAGAGGGACATGAGATGTGTACGTTGTCTTTTAGCTCTTTCATGGGTATTGATTCGCCAAAGACTACAAAATGTTGGGGTCATATTAACAATAGAGAGGTTATTTTGATGGTCGACAGTGGAGCCTCTCATAACTTCATTTCTCCTGCAGTGGTAGACAAGCTATGGTTGAAATTTTGTGCTGATAGTAGTTTGGATGTCTTGTTAGGCAATGGCGTCGTTGTGAAGGTCCATGGTGTTTGTAAAGCTGTTACTTTTCAGTTGAGCAACACTAACTTTACCTCATATTTTATATCATTGGAGTTGGGACAGGTGGATGTCATCCTTGGGATACAATGGCTTGAGACGTTAGGAAGGTGAGATATTGATTGGAAGGAACCGATTCTCTCTTTACTGTATGAGGGAGCTCGTGTGACCTTGTATGGGGATAGGTTGTTGCATTGTAAAAAGCTATCTTTCAAGTCATTGTGTCCATGTCTGAAATATATGCTTGGTAGTGAAGTACTATTAAATACTTCTACGGTGCCATCTACAATTTCTGAGTTGGAAGCACCTATTGCCACTCTACTGAGCCATTTTACTGATGTCTTTGCAATACCAGTAGAGTTACCACCGTTACAGGGAAATAAACATTCTATCACTCTTGTTCCTGGGGTTTCTGCTGTTTCAATGAGACCGTATCGGTATCCTCATGAAAGTAAAATGGTGATGGAGGATATGGTGAATGAGATGTTGGCAACAGGAGTGATATGTCCAAGCACAAGTTCATTCTCGAGTCATGTCTTGCTAGTCAAGAAGAAGGATGGGTCTCATTGCTTTGCGTCAATTATAGATTTTTGAACCGTGCTACTGTCCCCGATAAGTACCATGTCCCTGTCATTTATCAGTTGCTTGATGAGTTGATGGTGCAGCTGTGTTTTCTAAACTTAATCTCAGGCCGAGGTACTATCAAATTCGCATGGTGGAGTCTGATATTGAGAAGGCTGCATTTAGGACAGTGGAGGGTCATTATGAATTCCTTGTGATGCCTTTTGGGCCCATTAATGCACCTACTACTTTCCAAGCTTTGATGAACAAGATTTTCAAACCATTTCTTTGTCACTTCGTCTTTGTTTTCTTTGATGATATTTTGATTTATAATAAGACTTTGGTTCAGCATATGGCTGTTGTCTTGGGGGGGGGGTTACGTGATCAGAGACTCAATAATAATCAAAAGAAGTGTTCGTTTGGGGTTGGTCAAGTGGAGTATTTGGGTCATTTGATTTCTCAGAAGGGTGTAGAGGCAGATGGGATTAAGACTGAAGCTATGAACTTGTGGCCTACTCCGAAAATGGTTAAGCAGCTTTGAGGATTCTTTGGCTTAACAGATTATTATAGATGCTTTGTGAGGAATTAAGGTGTGCTGGTCAAACCATTAACTACCTTGTTGAAGAAGAACCAGTTTACTTGGGGTTTTGAAGCACAAACAGCGTTTGAAAAGCTGAAGTTTGTGATGGCTCATACTCCGGTGTTGGCTTTACCAGACTTCCAGAAGATATTTATAGGTTAATCAGATGCTTCTGCGTTTGGTCTGGGAGAAGTGTTGATGCAAGACAAGAACCATACAGCTTTCTTTAGCCACATTTTGACACCACATGAACAATTGAAGCCAGTGTATGAGAGAGAGTTGATGGCAATCGTCATGGAAGTGAGGAAGTGCAAAAAGGCTGCCGATGGTCTTTTTCGAAGCATGGCAATTTCTTCTTTGTTACTATCTTCGATTGTACCTACGGCATTACAATGGGAGGATTTGTATAATGAAATTGCTGAAGATGATGGTATTCAGTCTCTGTTGTTGCAACTTAGCACTGGCACTCTGTAGTCTAAGTAGTACTTTGTAGTAGATGGGAGTTTTTGGTACAAACAACGGTTAGTACTTCCTTCTAGGTTTATTTCTTGATCATGCGTGAGTCTCATGATAGTAAGTGTGGTGGTCACTCTGAGGTTCTTAAGACAATAAAGAGAGTTCAAGGCTCTTTCCATCGGGATAGAAAGATGATACAAGATTATGTTGCAGAATGTGTTGTGTGTCAGACTCATAAGCACTCCATGTTGGCTCCAGCGGGTCTATTACAACCTTTGCCAATTTTTGAGAGAGTGTGGGATGACATTAACATGAATTTTATCGAAGGGCTACCGACTTCTAATGGCATCAACGTGGTATTAGTGGTGATTGATCGCCTTAGTAAGTACATGCATTTCATTGAGTTGAAGCACCCATTTTCTTCTATGGATGTGCTAATCAATTTGTTAATGGCATTGTGTGTTTATATGGGTTTCCAAAGAGCATTGTGTCAGACAGAGACTGTATATTTCTCAGTTCGTTTTGGAAGGATGTATTCAAGCTTCTTGGCACTCATCTTAAGCTCAGCACAGCCTTTCATCCTCAGACGGATGGCCAAGCTGAGGTGTTAAACCGGTGTTTAGAGACGTACTTGCGATGTTTCTCATCGTCTCATCCGAGAACTTGGCATAAATATTTGGTTTGGGAAGAGCTGTGGTATAATATACCTATCATAAGTCTTTGAAGACACGCCTTTCCAGGTGGTTTATGGCCGCGAGCCACATCCTATTCTTCGCTGTGAGTTTGGTTCTACGAAGAACTTTGAGCTGGAGCAGTCGTTGAAAGAGATAAATGCTATGTTGGACCAACTGAAGAAGAACTTTTTTATATGCTCAGCAAATGATGAAGGAACAAACTGACAAGCATCAGAGAGATGTGAAGTTTATGGTGGGGGATTTGGTTTTCTTGTAGCTTAAGCCATACCGGAAACAGATTGAGGTCCGAGGGTTTGTCACAAGTTAGCGGCCAAATTATATGGGCTGTATCAGATGTTAGAACGGATTGGACAGACGGTGTATATGCTCAAGCTTCCATAGGGATCCAAGATTCACCATGTGTTTCATGTTTCTCACCTAAAGAAGGTATTGGGAGTTCATGATCAGTGTCAAAATTTTCCACCTTTGTGCATTACGGATGCTGATATGGTGTTAGAACCAAAGGATGTATTGGAGAAGCGTTATAATAAGAAGGGAGGATTGAAGCTACTTGTGAAGTGGATTGATAAGCCAAGTTTGGAGAATTCATGGTAGTCTTAACGTGAGTTTGTGGGAAGTTTTCCATATTGTAAGCTTGAGGGCAAGCTTAATTTTGCTGGGGGGAATAGTGATAGGTTCCAAAACTCGTATTATCGGAGGAGAAAGAACAAAGGAGGTATGTTGTAGGTGAAGACGTAGAAAGATCAAGTGGAGGGAAAGATTCAAATGAGAATGAGGAAGTGAATAGAAGGTTTGAAGAATAAAGAATGGGCAAAGACTCTAGTAGGAAGGGAGGCTTTGCCGTTAAGATCGTTGAGCTTGAGTTTATTCAAATAAGAGTTCGAAAGTCATTTTTCTTTTTTTATGTTTGTTGTTGTAGAAGAAAGACGCCATGAATCTTCTCTCTAGATCGCTATGAGATTGATGAATCCATTTATTATCGCTATGAAATTGTAATTTATATTTGTACGTCAAGGCCTCTAATATTTGTTGGTATTCCTGAAGGTTTTGCTGATGTACAGAACAAAACATTGGTGGCAGAGATGCAAGAAAAGATGCTACACAAGGACATCAACTCAATGATAGGAAGTTCCATGCCACTAGGTATGATGCGCATAGGAATAATCATCCACAACATCGAGATGAACCCAAAACAAGGCGCGAAGTTAGTCCGAGCTGCAGGGACAAACGCCAAGATCCTTAAGGAGCCTGCTTCGCTTGATAAAGCTTCCATCAGGGGACTCACGGTAGATCAACGCCACATGTCGTGCTACGATTGGTAAAGTCTCTGACCCGTCTCATGGAGGGAAGAAGAAGCTGAGGAAGGCAGGACAGAGTAGGTGGCTGGGGATAAGACCAAAAGTGAGAGGCGTAGTGAAGAATCCTAGTGATCATCCACACGGTGGTGGTGAAGGGAAAAGCAAAAGTAGTGGAAGCAGAGGTAGGACATCCGTATCTCCGTGGGAGAAACCGTACAAAGTTGGGTACAAATCAGCTAGTGTCAAGAAGAAGAAGAAGAGATTGGCTGCTACAGAAGCCAAGATGATGTGTTATGAGAGTGATGAAGATGGTTGGACCGTTGTTACGTGTCTTTTTGTTTTTCGAATTGAAATAACACGTTTTGAACGTGCACCACGTTTTTTAAAACGCGTTTTAACGTATTAAATAAGTTACGATTGTCCTAATCAGCTGAGCCAAACTTTTAGAAGTTGTTTATTTATTGTACGCTTCTGTAAAGACTGTAGTAGTAGGAGGTTGGATCGAGGAAAGGGATCAAAGACAAAGAATAATAAATAAAAGCAAAAGATTAGACGAGGAGTCAAAAGGTTGGGACAATGCACTGAATCAATCCCCACGATAAAAACATTCAAAACATATGTCTTCTTTGACTTGTGTTACTTTTAAATATTCCAGACTTGGGAAAAATAATTTATGTTTTCTTTTTTTTGAGAAAGTGATTTATGTATTGTGAAATGAAATTGTAGATGAAATGAAATTTGTAACTTACAAATCTTATAAAAGCTCGAGTTTTAGCGGTGTTTCTGAGATTTTCAGTTATACTATATTAGAGTTAGAGATTAGCAGTTGTTATAAATAAAACACTACACATTTTTACTAACATCTTTCTTTTAATACTTGAGATAATACATACTTTTAGTAACTCTTTTTTGCTGGGTATAAATACTTTTCTTACTGTAGAACAGTATTACTTTTTTTTACATGATTTAATTTTTTGGTAAAAGTATCACATGAAAGGTATTTTTGATGGCTTTTGTGGTAAAATATCAAAGATGGCTCTTCTTAAAGTCAAGGAACCCAATTTGACATTTTTTCTTGGTCTGAACAACCTACTCCCTCCGTTTTATATTAAGTGTCGTTGTAGAGAATTTTTTGCGTTACGAAATAAGTGTCGTTTTCGGTTTTCAATGCAAAATTTATTACTTTTATTATGTAATTTGTTTTTCTATTGGTTAAAATATGGTTAGGTGTATGGGTAACTGTGTTTTTATATAGGAAATATGTAAAATTAATTGTTTTCTTAATCTGTGTGCACAGCTGTAGAGTGACACTTATAATGAAACAGAGGGAGTACTAAAAATGCTTTAAGTGTTTTGAAAGAATATAAAATACAAGAATGGTATTTGAAGTTAAAGGAGGCACACGGAATTTCAAGAGAATGAGATTGTAAAATACAACAGAGCAGCCACCATGCTTGTCATATTGGGTCCTACTCACTCCATAATTATTCATCATTTCATTTCTATTCTTATTATGTTATCCTTGTAGTTATTTTTCTACAAACTCTTTTATTTCGTGGTATGGCATATACACAAAAAACGGTAGTGGTACAAAAAAAATGATTGTCAATTCTAGACATTTTATAGTGGCTGAAGTTTGTAAAATTTTTTCTTAGAAAACGTTAATTAGAAACAACTAATTGCTCATTTTAAAAAAAAAATAATATCGGGAATGGTATGCTGCTTTCCTTTGAAATGTGAGCTCACAAACAAGTAAAAGAATCTATTCCCAATCCCTTAATGAATTGGTTCAGTGTTTCACGTTCAAAATATATAAAATATCTCACTGAATCATAAGAAAATAATGGTAACAGTTGATTTATAAATGTTGGAAATTTATGATTAATCTTTTCCCTCTTAACTTTTATGTCAAGGGAGGTGAAAGGAGACGAATAATTAAGATACATACAATGAATTCAAATAGCCTCACAAGCAGTGAAGCAGATGCATGAATTTTGTTTTTATTTTTCTCTGCTATCATACTTTTAATTTTCTTTTCAGTCTAGTCATGTCTTTGCTAAGACTTCATTACAAAGCTCAATTAAAAAAACGACAAAGTATATGTCCCCATATATACTCTTATCTGTATCCCCAAGAAAATAAATTATTTAGCTTACTCTGTAGAAGACTTAGTTTATCAATTTGTTCCTAGATTAATTACTGCATATGATTGAATATACTAATTATACGGATTAGTTGCTGGAAGATCCAAGGTTGTAGTGCCTAATAACCAGTTCCGCTTAAGCATTGTAAGCTTACCTTGTGAATAGTAACCCAAATTATTATTTTGATATCACGAAAATAAAAAATGAAAAATAAATTCATAAAAGAGACATTTTCAGACACGTCTAATATTTGATTTTTTCTGTAAGAGAATGTTATTCTACAACAATATGCTTATGTTTTAAAGTACTTAAGATTAGTTCAAATAACTAATTTGACATATAAACTCATTTCATCTCAAAACTACGAATTTAATATATATAAAATAATTGATTAATGTAAAATCTATAGATTGAGACTATTCTATGTTTCAGTACATAAAAAAAATTAATATTATATTATGTTTGCAATGTTGTGTACTACATACTTTTTTTTTTTTTGGACAACGTTGTGTACTACATACAAGTTAAAAGAAATGGTATAACGTAAAAGAATAGATGGGAGAGTTGTACGAGGAATATTAATAAGACAAGTTGGTGGAGATATGCATTGAATCGATGTGAACGAACCACGTGATAAAGACATGTGCAATTTCATCCACATTATATACCTTTTGAAATCATTCGATTTTTTTTTTTTTTTTTGCTTAAAAAATCATTTGATTTTTAATCAACATTTTCATATTAGCCTTATGCAACTATATTCTTTTCAATATATCCCTGCGCAATACCACCAAAATTATTAAAGGGTCGTATTGATGGAGAAAACAGAATTAATAATAGTCTCAACTATGTATTGAAACTGTGGGCATATCATATAAACTCGTTATTGAGATAATAATGCGTACGCATTATTCAAATATATACAATAATAATAATAATAGTTCTATAAAGTAATTATATTTGTTGAATATTGTGTAGCAGGTCCACTGCCACTAGACAAGCAATCTAATGAAGGGTTTGCGATGTTCAAGGCAATCATGCATGGGTTGCCATTTCTATATAGCTTTCCCTTTCCACCACTTATTTTATTTTTAATTTCTTGAACTGAATATAATACTAACAGAATCCACAAATTGTTTTCGTAAGAAATTCTACTGTCTTCTTGTTCACCTTACAAGAAAATTATATATATATCTTTCTTGGTTTTGCCTACGAATAAAAATCTTCTTTGATCTGGATAAAAGATTGCGATCTCCTGTATAAACTATATGACTATGGTTTTAATCTACATGTGAACTGCATTATATTTTAAACAGATATATGAATATACCGACTGACAATGAGACTGATGATCTTGAATAGAGCTCCTACCGAATATTTGTTATTATACTTGTAAGTTTCGACACGTTAACAGTCTACAAAAGGTTGATGACATTCGATACGGATTTGATCTTTCTTTTACTCTAATAATTCTTCATGAATATTTCGGTACAAGCTAAAAAATATTACAGAATGTTCATACAATAATTCATGCATGTAAACATATATGAACGATTTAGATCGTCAGATAGCAAAGTCCTCTACGACAGAAATGCATTTTATATAAAACATACTTTCATAAGCATAATGTCTACGTACTCCTTTTCATATTAATATATGAATGTGTGGCATCGATCCTAACGATCGGATCAACTACATATCAGCAAGACAATTAGACAAACTGAATATCTGTTAATGTCGGAAAGATATGACTGGTTTTTTTCTTGTACGACTCTACCAGACATTTTTCACAAGATTTGAATCCATTTATTCATGAATGGATGTAAGGTCTTGTTGTAATAATTTATAGGGTTAAATTAGAATAATGATGTCATTTAGATAGTAATTGACACACATTTCTCAGTTCTAGTATAATTGACGTAGTTGATGTTATATATGTGATTCATTGAATTTGAATAAATAAGTAATGCATAGGTAACCCTATCAATTGGTTTGAGACCCGAAAGGCCAAACAAACGAGCTGCTTACGCAAAATAGCATGTCCCTCATTAATCACGCAACCTACTATATAAAATGCAGGAAGTCTCACAAATTGTATCAACTTTTAGTTAGCACTATTTTATTTTGAACTATTTGTATTTTTCAATAAGATTATATAGTAACTACTAATAAAAATTTACCTATAAACCTTAGCTATGCCCTTTTTCAAAAAAAAAAAAAAACCTATGGAAAACTATACTCCAACTGACCCACTAGGAAACACGAGATAATATGATATATCCACCACATGAAGTGCCGAAGAGAAGAATAACAATATGGGTCCTAATTGGTCGAACATAGACAACAACATTATTATTAGGTGGAAAATACAACTCTATAAATTATAAGTACATAATTTTCGATATTTTTCTGTGAATGTGTTTGTGAAGATTAAAATGATAATTTCATTATATTCAATCTTTAAATCATTAATGTTATGATTTCGTGAAATTCGCCTCTAGTGCCCGTCCATGGTTTCAACAGATTACAACCCTAAATAATAATGATAATCGATGTCATAAATAACGCCAAACAAGGCAACAAGCAGGACACAATACACAGATTGAGCATAGATTAAGTGACTACTTTCAAAGAGAAGAAGTTTTCAATCGTTAATTATTTGTATTTAGCATTTTTAGGGGCTAAGTTTTTTTATCAATCAAGCCATAAATAACGCAATCACATTTCAAATCTCTGCAGCAAAAGAAGGAACTAGACTTTGTTTTGTCTAAAACATCAAGTGTTATATATATATATATATATATTTTTGCAAAATACAAGTGGTTAACATCTTGTATTTGTTTTCTTATTAATAATCGTTTAAAATAATATATGAGACTAATAAAGCCTACAACTCAGAAAGGAAAAAAACACGACTGTTTTTCTAGATTAGTAACACCATTGAATATTCACAAAACATATCCGAAGAAACTGAAAACCTCCACTTGAAACGGAGGCTTACCCCAAATATTCCAGTCTACGTCAGATTCTACTCTAAAGGAAGAGAGATAAATGTCTAGGGGAGAAGAACCAACTGTGATTGTGGGGGAGAGAGAGAAGCAAAAGTATTCTAAATTTGCAGGCAGGCCTTCCAGAATCAGCAACTTGTCACCCCCAATAGAGAAAAAATAATAATAAAAATTTAAATCCTTTTTCAAACATTATTGCTCGGTTTTTTGAAGAAATAAAGATCTGTAAATTCAATGAACCTTCCTCTCTCTCTCCAGAATACCACAGTCCAATCTCAAAAAGATTTATTTATTTATTTGCTACTTGTCTTCTTCATTCTTTTTATACCAAAACCACACCCACTTTCTTTCTTCCTACTTCTGTATTCTCCTTACCAAGAAAGAAAACTTTCAAACTTTCTCTCTGTTCCTCAAAGCTTTGAATCAAGATCTTGATTTCGAACGTCGTATCTCCTTCTCTCTAAGGAGTTTGGCTACAAGATAACATCTTCTCAAGAAAAAAGGAACGCAAGTTTTAGATGATTCGTGAAATCTCTAGTCTACAAAACGACATCATAAACATTCGAGAACGCTCTTCAAGCAACAACAACAAGATCATGGACATGAGAAGAGATATTCGCAGACCAGCTCAAGCTCCTATGATGAGTAAGCAAGAATATTTTCGGACATTGTCGTCACAGAACAGTCCAAGGAGGCTAATCTCAGCGAGTTACTTCAGTATAGAGTCAATGGTTGTTCTTGTTGGTCTCACGGCATCTCTCTTGATCCTTCCCTTGATTCTTCCTCCATTGCCTCCTCCTCCCTTCATGCTGCTTCTCATTCCTATTGGGATTATGGTTTTGCTTATGGTTCTTGCTTTAATGCCTTCTTCCTCTTCCTCTTCTTCTTCTTCTAATCCCAAACATGTAACAAGAACTTATATGTAACACAAAGAAAATGAGATTTTGTTTTTGGTTTTATCTATTGTTAATTTTGTTATTACATAAGGTTTCAGGGTAAGAGGTTTTGTATGATTATTCCATTTGTAAAACTTGTAGTACTAAACAATTTCATGACTTTATCAATAATGGTCTCAAAATGGGATTGGGGCATTTAACAGGAGGAAGACTATCTTTATTTTTCTTGTTGTTGTAGAAGGCATGCGGGTTTTGGGATAAAACCTACCGAATCAAACTCAACTAACCAAATGAACCAAAACTTTTGGTTCGGTTTGATGGGTTAAGTTCATAGTCCCAGCCCTAAGTTGAAGTAATAATATACAGTTATCATCTCCAATGGGTTAAGAGATAGAGAAAAAGACTTGACAAAAACATTCTCATAGACCTGGATCCGGATCCAAAATTGTATTGATATGATTTATCTTTCAATTCTTATTCTTTTTTAAACTAACGTAGAGGTTAAAACCCAAATAACTCTGATGCTAGTAGATCCATTGTTGCTCAGCATCAAAGCCTTGAAGCTGCTTCACTGCTTACATGAGCTCTCCCCTGAGCTTCTGTGAAAGCAACCTCCCACCTGCATTCACACACTCTCTGTACAGCGGCATGTAAGCAATAGCAACCCTCAGTGGAGCTGGGAAATCCTTTAAACATATAGCAGACTCTCCAATCTTCAAAACCCTCATGAAGTTCAAGACGTCATCTCTGCTTTCCTTCAATCCTTTGCTTGAATGCAGCTTCTGACCAATGTTCTTGCAGAAATGATTTCAGTTCTGAAGGAACAGAGGATCCCCAAGGAAATCTGATTTGAGGAGAAACTCTACTCCGTTGAAGGAACCACCACTTCTTCCGCCTGCCGCTTTGAGGATTTTTATGCTGAGAGCTATGTTATATGGAAACGGAAGCGGAAACGCGGAAGCGGAATTGTATAAAAGCGCAGAATCGAAATTTAAAAAAAAATTAGGAAGCGGATACGTGTTAAAAGCGTATATCCAAATATATATATATATATATATATATATATGTATATAAGAAAATTTTATAAAATTTATAACTAAGAATTATATGATTCTAATTTAAAGTAAAGTATTTATTCTTTTTTTTTTTTACATCAAACAAAAACAGACTCATATTGACTCTGCGAACCAAGGTGGTAGCTCCGTATCCATGTGAACAACGAAGGACGATTGTTTTCTGACACTTCGTACTAGACTATCCGCCCGTGCATTCCGTGTTCTTGGTACATAGATGATATTCGAACTGTTGAAACTCCCCTTCAGCGTCTTGATATCTTCCAGATAATTTGCAAAGGTTGGCGATTCTTCTGGTTCCGACACCATCTTCATCAACTGAAAACAATCTGTTGCAAACGTAACTTGATATTGACGCAAATTCCTCATACTTTCCATAGCCCAAATAAGCGCTTCTACCTCCGAATGAAGGGGCGATAAACTAGCTCGTACATTTCTTGCTCCTAATAAACCCTCAAAGCCTTCAAGTGTGCTATACCAACCATGACCATCAAAAATATCTTTGTCCTTCCACGAACCATCAACAAAATACCAGTGTCCTGTAATGGATGGTATATCGATGATCCCCCTGTTCTCTGTTTGGCGTTGCGATATCTTTATTTGAGCCTCCTCCCATAGAGTAGATTCTGTCTCATCCAGTGTAAGTGTGTCCTTCGGATCTATATCCAAATTACTAAAAACCTTACTATTTCTCTCTTTCCAAATATACCAAAGTATCCATGTAAAATGATGATTTTCGATCTTAGGAATAACCCGCCAAAATAGATGATCCATATTTGTAAAGAGAGATCCTGTTGGAAAAATTGCCCGACTCAAAGATATTTTTGACAATGTCCACACCTGACGTGCTGGTGGACATTGAAAAAACACCTGATTAACCGACTCTTCCTCAGCTCCACATCTATCACAGCATAGATCCCCATTTATCCCCCGTCCCTGAAGGTTTTTCCTGACCGGAATACACCCCGCAAGCAGTTGCCAGAGGAAATGTTTTATTTTTGGAGGACATCGTAGTTTCCAGCAAAATGCTTTTAAAACATCAATTGTGGGACCCTGAAATTTAGGGGGCCTACCTTTATCCGGGTACACCCGTTCCCCCTGATACCATGTCTTAACCGTGTATTTTCCATTCTTAGTGAAGTGCCATCCATCCCTATCCTCCATGTGCCTCCGACTAAGTGGAATACTGCCAATTATTTTGGCGTCCTGGGGGTCTACTAAAGTCCGAATTAACGGCATATTCCAAGTCCTCGTGTTCGTATCGATGAGAGAATCCACTGTAAGTTCCGGATATAAAATTTGATGGTTTCTATTTGCTGGTCTCGGGCGAGTGGTTGAGAGCCATGGATCATTCCATACTGAAATAGATGATCCTGATCCCACCCGTTTGATGAGTCCTTTACTAACCAGAGATCTAGCAGAGATCATACTTCTCCAGCCATATGATGGTGAATATGATCTGATTTGTGTCATAGGTGTCGCATTCCTATAATATCTACCTTTGAAAACACGGGCAAACAAACAATTTGGCTTTTCAATAAGTCGCCATAGTTGTTTCCCTAACATTGCCGTATTGAAATCCTCGAGATCCTTAAAACCCAAACCTCCTTCATCCTTATCTAGACATAACTTGTCCCAAGATTTCCAATGCAAACCCCTAGTGCCTCCCCCCGGGCACCACCAAAATTGTGCTACCGCACTTGTGAGCTTCTTTATAGTTGTCTTTGGTAATCGATAGCATGACATTACATGATTTGGTAATGCCGTGACTACTGATTTGATAATCACCTCTTTCCCTCCTTTCGTAAAATACCTAAAGGTCCATCCATTAACCCTATGATTTAATCTTTCCTGAACAAAATAAAATACATGTATCTTAGACCCACCCAAATTCTCTGGTAAGCCTATATATGTACCCATACCTCCTATATTCTGAATTCCTAGTATATCCCGAAGCTCTTGCGTTTTCTCCTCCCCAATTCTATGACCAAACTGAATTCAGGAGTTCTGGAAATTTATTAGTTGACCTGAAACAGCCTCATATTCCTTAAGTATAGTAAGGATGGTTTGACACTCTTCCGGTTGTGCCTTACAAAAGAAAAGGCTGTCATCTGCAAAAAAAACCGATGAGAAATCGCTGGGCACGCTCTAGCAACTTTCATCCCTTTTAATCTCTTTTGTCGTTCCGCCTTTTTAATATTAGTAATTAGAGCCTCGATGCACAAAATAAATAAATAAGGCGACAATGGATCACCCTGTCTTAAACCTCTCTACGGAATAATGTACTCCTTAGGTTGACCATTGATTAATACCTGGTACTGAACAGATGATATATATTCCATCATAAGCTTTGTCCAGCGAGGGTCAAATCCCATCTTGTGGAGCAAAGCCTGAATAAAATCCCACTCCACTCTATCATACACTTTACTCATATCTGTTTTTATCGCCATAAACTTTCATTGGCACGATTTATTGGCCCTTAAACCGTGAAACATTTCCTGGGCAATGAGGATGTTATCTGAGATTAACCTCCCTAGCACAAAAGCTGATTGGGTTTCCGAAATAAGCCTGGGCAAGCAGCTTTTCAGCCGTTGACACAATACCTTTGAAATAATCTTATAACCCACATTACAGAGGCTTATCGGTCTAAGTTCTGTCATCCTTGTCGGTCTCTCCGTCTTTGGGATCATACAAATATGAGTCAGATTTAGACGAGCATCCAGTTCCCCTGAACTCAGGAAATTATTCACCATCTCTACCAAATCCTTTTTAACAACATGCCAAGAATTTTGGAAAAAAGTGCTGTCATTCCGTCAGGTCCTGGTGCCTTCTCCGGATGCATCATAAATAAAGATTGTTTAACCTCCTCCTCTGTTGCCGTCCTCAACAGCCTTTGATTCATTTGAGCTATTATATTCGAGGGAACCTCATCCAGAAAACTTTCAAAATCAGATGGGGAAGTTGAAGTAAATAAATTCTCAAAATAGCCGACCACAACTTGTTCCACCCCCTCTTCCGTTGTTATCCAATTTTCTGACTCGTCATGGAGTCCCATAATTTTGTTACGCACCCGCCTTTGTTTCGTTAAGGCATGATAAAATTTGGTATTAAGATCTCCCGAAGAGTACCACATATTCCGACTTTTTTGATACCAATAATCTTCTTCATCCTTGTACGCCTCCTGAAGCTTCCTAGATATTTCCAGAATTTCCTCATGTGTCCTATTATCATCCATCTGTACCCCTTCAAGAGCCCTCTGGAGATTTCGAATTTTCTCCTTCCCATATGGTGGGTTATTTTTCCTCCACCCTGCTATCTCTCATGTCTACAATTACTGATCTTAGAGACCAGATCACCTCCCTGGCCATTACTTTCTTCAGTCCATCCAGCAATTATAGATTCCATAAATCCCTCCTTCCCTATCCATCGCTTATCGAATCTAAATTGCCCCCTCCTTCTAACAACTTTATCCTCCATAAAAGCCACTATGTGACGATGATCCGAGCCAACCATACCCAAGTATTCAGTGTAAGAGCATGGGAATGCTGCATGCCATTCTTCATTTGCTAATGCTCGGTCTAGACGACACCTAATCATCACCGTACCTTTCCATTTCCCTCGGCGTCCTTGCCAGGACATTTTATTTCCTCTCGCCGGGAACTCTAATAAGCCGCTGTTTCGAATCATATTGTTAAAAGGAACAAAAGAAGCAAAACTCCTTAACACACCCCTTTCCTTCTCGTGATTGCCAGTAATCTCATTTAGGTCCCCAATAATAAACCAAGGCTCTGATCTGGCTAGACCATAACGAGTTAAACGCTCCCCCGCTGCGTCCAACCGGATCCACTGTTATCAAATTATCGTATCCAAAGTGTGCTTGAAACCCTTGCACAAATTCATAGTCATGTTTTGTTTCCGATAAAAACAGGAACTTTGGTTTATATTTATGCCATATTTCCCTTAGATAACTAATTGTCCATTTACTTCCCATTCCTCTACAATTCCATCTTAGTACTTTCATAAAAAATAATCTGTAGAGTGAGTAAGAAAAGGGGATAATGAAACCCATATCTCTGCACAAGCAGTTTCCATTGAACAAACATATCCAGTGAAGCAAAAGCAGGTTTGCCCCACCCGTAGACCCCAGTTCATCTACATTATGCGCCATAATTCCAAACTAATAGGAACATATGTACGTGGACATATTTCCTCTTTAATATAATATTTTACATCTGCTGAAAATTCATTTTGTCCATTTGAAAACCTTGTCTTTTGTACCGCAAGACAATCCTTGTTTAGGTCCCTTTCCATAGACGTGCCCATTATGTTTGTGTCTTCGTGTTTGGTTTAAAGAGACCAATTTCCAGAAATACCTCCAAACCAATCCCTCCATCACTCCTTGACGCAACCATAATATCGGTAAAAGGAAACCACATCCATAACAAATTCCCGGAACAATATCACACCCCCAGTAATCATAAAAACCACTATTATTCCAAATGAGAAACTCATAGCACAAACTTAGAAACCACAGAAGACTATAAGTCCAAAATAAAGTTTGGGCATAGTCAAAGATAATACCAAAAACACAACAACCGAAAATAATGCTCCAAGAGCTTATTAAACAAAACAAAACGATAAAAACCAGTAGCACCACGAGCTCGATACACTCCTCCGATGCTTGTATAATCATAAAATCCTATAAGGCTTAGCAGAGGTAGTCGTTGGATTTGATGAACCCTTCTCCTCTTTCAGCTTTACTCCTTCTCCTTGTCGAGACACTGGTTTGTTGGTTGGTCGCTTGCAAGTAGCCACCATAGCTTGGACCATCCTTGCTTTGGAAGAGACCCCCGCAACTGAAGTGGACTTAAAGAAACCCTTTTTTACCACCTTCTTTTGTCTCCAT